TATACCAAAAAGAGATTATATTACTGTGTTGCAATTTATGAGGAAAGCAACTTTAGATTTTATTCATCAATATCAGTAAAATCTAGCCAAACTCTGCAAGTAAGCTAAGTAGAACCAATAGAAGCCCAGTATTGGAAATGGCTTAAAACAGGGGTGCCAAACTGCCAGCCCACGGGCCGGTTGCATCATATGGAGGCCGCGCCACGCCAGCTCCGGCAATGCAAAAAAAGTCACGATACATAGTGACACGTCACGTGATGTGGCGAATTTGACACCCATGGCTTGAAACAAGTCAATTACTGTAGTATTTGAACCTGGATTTTGTGATAAAATGTGATTAAGATGAAGCAATGATACCATATTTTTAGCCACTGTTTGTTACTGTATGGGTTTGGAAGCAAAGAAAGGCCTAGTTAGTAATTGGATGATTATGAATTATCAGGGATATTGGTAGGATTGGAAAATTTTAAAAAAATTCTTAACAGTGGCAAACCATTCCTGCCTTACTGCCAAGGAAATTATGCATTGATGAAGTCAGTAGAAATTGAGCTTGATTTGAAGGCTATTTTACCTTTAGTTTACCTTACTTTAAGCTTCTCAGGTCAACTACAACCAGAAGTAATGGGTAGGTTAAAGTGAACTCTGTTTCCAATATCTGGAACTGCAGATGAGAGGCTAGGGTACCTGCTTGTTGTGGGATATGAGTATGAAATGGGGCCATAAAGGGGATTAGGGAAAGCAAGAATTTCTAATCCTATGTTCTGCCCAGCCTACGTGAGTCCTTGTTATGCTCACAAGGAGAAACCCCTCTTCAAAGAAACAGGCAGGAACCGCAAGAAAAAACCAACCCCTTTTATTCTCACAGACCTGTCAATGTCCAAGGCAAACACAATCCACAGAAACTCAATCCTCGAACGGTTGCCTTTGACAACCAGCACCTCCCACACCTTCCCTTTTATAATTCAACCAAGGCATGGCTTCCTAATACCTTCCCCTTTGCCTTTGGAGCCGGCCCATTGCATTCCTCTGTCCTACTCGCTTCTCTTGCCTGTGCTTTCATGCATCCTGGATTTGTCCCAACTGTTCTTCATCACCGTCCAACTCAGTCTCCCAGCACAGCTGTGTCTCAGCCTGAGCGCGAGTAGAGGGGCCAGGCTCCTCGCCCAACTGTAAGTCTTGGAGCTCCTCAGAACCTTCCTCTGACTCTAATGTCACTCCAGGCCCCTCCTCATCTGATTCCTCAGACTCAGCTGCCGGATCCACTGGCTGGCGAGGAATCACAACACTATCCCACACCGCAGGACCCTTCCCCCGGGTCTGCCGGGCCGGATGCGGTCGTGAAGGAAACTGTTCGTGGAATGCTGTCACCAAGGCAGGAGCATGGACAGTGGTCGCATCCTTCCAGTGGTCGCATCCCTCCGGTCCATAGGCCTTCCACTCAATCAAATACTGAAATCGGCCTTTCAGCCAACGGGAGTCTCGAATACTGGCAACCTCATACTTGGGAGCGCTGTCTCTGTCATGTTGTTCTGATGGGGGATGTTCTGATCGTCGGAGTGGACACGCCGGTTGTTCTGGGACCAACAGAGACCAGTGAAAGACCGGATGTACCTGTAACGACCGTGGCAAAGTTAACCGATAAGCGACCGGGTTGATGACGGCTTCGATAGGGAACGGTCCTAGGTACTAGTGATCTAGATTCTTGGCAGGCCAGTTTGATGGCAGGTTCCTGGTTGACAGCCACACCCAATCTCCCACCGTTAATGTAGGCATATCTCACCTCGCCCAATCGGCAACCTTCTTGTAATCCGCCTTGGCCTTATCTAGTTGTTGTCACGCCAATTGATGGATAGCCCGTAACTCGGTCAGATATTCATTAGCTGCAGGAACTGGTGAGTTGAGCTGCGAGAAGGGGAAAAGCCGGGGATGATACCCCACATTGGACAGGAATGGTGTCATATGCATGGAGGTGTGCTGTGAGTTGTTAAAAGCAAACTCAGCTACCACAAGATAGTCCACCCAATTGTCCTGTTGCTGATTCACATAACAGTGCAGATATTGTTCTAGGATTCCGATTACTTTCTCGGTCCCATCAGTTTGCGGATGATAAGCAGATTTTTACGTCTAGAGCCTGCATCAACCCCTTCCAGAAACAGGCCATAAATTGAGCCCCTCTATCTGAAATGACCCTATCAGGGAGGCCAGGCAGCCAGAAAACCTGCTGGATGAACATGTGAATGGTGGCATGGGCTGATGGCAAGCCATGGCAAGGAATGAAATGCACCATCTTGGTCAGCATGTCCACCACTACAAATACCATTGTGAAGCCAGAAGACGGGGGCAAGTCTGTCAAGAAGTCCATGGACACTGCCCCCCAGGGTCTTTCAGGCATTGGCAAGAGCTGAAGTAGACCTGGTGGGGCCCCTGTCGCTGACTTGGCCGCCTACACTGTATACAAGACGTGACGTAGGCCTGGACGTCGTGTTGTACTCGAGGCCACCAGAATGTACGGGAGACCAAGTTCAGTGGCTTGAACAGGCTCCTCGTCCGATTGTAAGTCTTGGAGGTTCTCAGAGCCTTCCTCTGATTCTAATGTCACTCCAGGCCCCTCATCATCATCTGATTCCTCAGATTCAGCTGCCAGATCCACTGGCTGGCAAGGAATCACAACATCCTATCTGCAACATGTCAGATCTTGACATAGTTATTATGAATAATTATTTTTATTTCTGAATTTGTAAACCCAGTCCTTGGTTTATGTTACAAAATCACTGGGTCAGTGGTTTTCTCATAAGAATCGCCAGATAAGAGAGTATGGAGAGTATGCGCATATAAGCAAACTCATACTCCATGATTATCAGGGAATAAGACAATGGAAAGTCTATTTCATCAATTGTTTTGTATTTTATCATTTAGAAAAGATGAGCAGCTGAGATGCCTGGATTGGAAGCTTAATACTGGCCACCTTCCCTTGAAGGTAAGGAACATACCTTAATAAAAATGTCCTTTCAAGTTTAACCCCACCTACACATCTTTTTTTCCAAAAGAGACTGTAATGGCAGCAACCTGAAGTGGCCATCAGGAATGGGGTACATCCCAGCTCCAGACCATATCCTCAAACAAATGATTGACAAGCATGCTAAATCCTATCCAGAGCAAAAATTGTCAGAATAAGAGAGAGAACACTCCTGGATCACCTGGGATAGCTAAGGATGGCTTTAAGCTCTCAGCTGTGGATTGGAGATAAAGTAAAGGCAAAATCATGGAGACTGCATAAAAACAGTTATGAGGCTATATATGTGCCATAGCTGGTTGTATGAGGCTATATATGTGCCATAGCTGGTTGTGCCATAGCTGGTTGTATGAACCATACTCAAATTTTATTTAACTTATTTTATATTGTCAGCTATGAATAATTTTGGATAACTTTAATCTAAATGTTATTCCAAACAAACATAAGTGCAGACAGATTTAAACACAGACTTGGAGTAGATATGGGTGAAGCGAGTCATTTCCTTGCATTCCTTATAGAATTTACACCTTACTTAGCCTCTAGGATATCAAGGTGGAATGGCAGAGTATGTCTCCTTATTTTATTCAGATAGCACCACTAATAATTTGGACCTGCATTTCCTCTATGCCAGCCCAACTTAATTATTATTCTACTTTTCTACTTATTCTACTTTTCTTCAAAAAAGACAATATTAATTCCCCAAATAGTTATTGCAGCTAATAATTGAATCTAACATATAGATGTAACACATAGATGTGCATATATATGAAGGATTGCCTTCATAAATATTACCACCTTAGTGTGGTTCTGCATTAAGAACCAAATTTCCTGTCAAGGACATCTTTCCCAACTTGATGCCTTTCCAATTGCATTGAGAATATTCCCATAACTCAGCCAACAATGCTCCCCTGCCTGATGGGGATTATAGGAATTGCAATCAGTCAATACTGCTGGAAAACCCGGTAGTGGAGGCAGATTGAAAAAGAGGGTTAGCAAACTAAATTACTACGGAGAGAATTTATCGAAAAAGGAGACTTGTGCCCCCCAATTTTGGATTGGGCTGCTGAGGGCCTTAGATTTGCTACTATTTCTACTATGGTGACCAAATCTGGGCTGGAAAAATCCAACCCATCTTGAGTTAAAATTGCTGCTATCCATTAATCCTCCAGAATTTTGCCACTCAGATATGGTAGCAATTATTATCGTTCATCACACAATCAGCCAGATGTTTATATTGGATAGGCATTTTTATCCACCTATAGAGTCCTTCCCAAAGACCTGGGATAGCCAGATTTTGTTGTTTAATAGTGTTAAAGGTATCGTGGCAGGATGAAAGCTGTTCCCAGCAAAGCTGCCTTTTGAAATTGAGCGATGGGGATTTTTGTCAATGCGGACGGTATTCATAGGGTGCTCCAGATGTTCTGGAATTACACCCCAGGTGCCTATTACTACTGGCACTATCTTTGCTTTCCTTTTCCCACGGTCCTTCTACTTCTATTGGCAGGTCTTTGCATCTTGTGATTTCATCCATTCTTTCTCTTCTATTCTTCAGTCTCCAGGTACCGCATTTGTTGTTGTTGTTGTTGTTATTATTATTATTCCTCTTCTCGTGTGCCCACGAAATGGAAGCTCCTCTGCCGGGTTCCCACCCTGGAGGGGCAGCAGAGAGGCGCATCACGTGGGGCGGAGGAGCCCGGCCTCTCTGTGGGCAGCGGCCGGGCGAGAGGCTCCGCTGCTGTTGCTGGTGCCGCCACCGCCGCCGCCACGCCTAGCGAAGACCCAGATTGGGAGGAGCGCCGGGGGAGGGAGGGAGAAACGGCTCGGGTGGCGGAGGCGGCCGGAGCGAGCGGGGGAGATGGAGGCGCTGTGAGCGCGGCCAGGGCTGCTTGACGGGCGGGGGTTGGCGGAGGAAAGGGGGGATCCATCAGGGCAGCGCCGAGCCGCTTTCCCCGCAGCAGCAGCCGCAGCAGCCTCGGCCGCCTCTCCTCTCTTCTCCCAGGATGTCGCGCTCGGTGTTGCAGCCCAGCCAGCAGAAGCTGGCCGAGAAGCTGACCATCCTCAACGATCGCGGCATCGGCATGCTGACTCGCCTCTACAACATTAAGAAGGTGCGCGGGCCCGTCTGCGGGGTGGGTGGGTGGGAGGGAGGGCGAAGCCGTGCGGGGACAGCGGGCCTGGGGCTCGCCCAGCAGCTGGAGGGGAGCGACTCGCTCCAATGGCTTATTCCGCCAGCTGTGGGAATTTCCGGCCTGGCTTTGGGAAGGTGCGAGCGAGCCGCAGGCCGCGCGCAAGGAGCATTTCCCGGCTGCTTGGAGGGGCGCGCGAGGAAAAGAGGCGGACGTAGCACCGGGGGCGAAGTCTCCCTCTCTCCCCCCCCTCCCCCGCGGGCCTTTCTTCCTAACCCCATGCCTGCTTCTTACTCAGCAAGGCCTGCAAGGTGTGGGGACTGATTTGCTCCAGGGCGGAGGCCCGGAATGCAAAGGGGGAGGCCGACCCGGGTTTTTTTATTATTATTTTTTATTTATTTTTTTTAAAAAAAACAACTTCCATTTCCTTTACGCAAAGAGTTGGAGAAGAAGGGAAGGGGAGGGTGTAAACCGGGATTGGGCCGGATGCACCTTCTGGATTGATCCTATTTGCTCCATGGAAGTAGAGATAAAGATACGTTGGAGAGAGGGAATGTTTTCGCCACTGTTTCCTGAAACCCTGTGCAGTGGCTAGTATGCCGTGTGTGTTTGTTTGTATGTATGCATGCATGTATGTTTGCGTGTACACGTACGTTTCTGTATGAGGGAGATCTCAAACCGGATATGTAATAGCTGCACTTTTCTCATGGGTCTCGTACTCTTGTTGCCCAAATTCTAATAAAACTATTACGTTAATTGCTGTTTGCCCCGTGTCGTTATTGTTTGAAGTAAAATGCTCATTGGAAAGATGGTAGATTCGCTGCTTAGTAAACACTTTTACGTTAGGATTTACTATGTAACAGCTCCCCTGATTGCTAGCCAGAGGGGAGCACGGTGGGTTGATCATAAAGGAAGAAAAGTGAGATTCTTGACAGACCATGCTTCAAATATCGATTTGCTGATATTTGACTATGGTACCAACTTGCGGCATTAACATGCTAAAAAATTCAATATGTCATTCTGTTCTCTCTGATGGTGTTTTTCTGAGAATTTCCTGCTAAATGTGTTGAAATTTAATTGGGAAAATAATCAAGTGGTTTTTGTTCTGATTTAATATATTAGATCATCATGTGAACAGATACTAAAATATATGTGTAAAACTACTGGGGCATCTTAGCTATAAAAATCACTATGTGATATAACACTGATATAAAACCTTTTGCTTTTAATAAGAGAGTACTTGGAATTGTGCTCATTGTTAGGTGGATCCCCCCCCCCATACTGTAACAACTTTATATATGTTTGATTATGTTATTCCAATAATGTGTGTATTATCAGTGTCCTTTGAATTATGTGGTAGCTTAGTTAAAAGACTTCTAGTCTTTAAATGTGTGGTTGGAAAAAAAGCTAAATTATGTTCTGGTGGCACATTGGCTAATTTCTGATTATCATTTAATACTACAGGTAGTCCTCCATTTATGATCACAATGGAGCTCAAAATTTCCACTGCTAAGCAAAACAGTTGTTAAGTGAGTTTTGCCCCATTTTATGGCCTTTCTTTCCACAGTTGTTAAGTAAATCACTGCAATTGTTAGTAATATTTGTTAAGTGAATCTGGCTTCCCTTCTTGACTTTGCTTGACAGAAGGTCGCAAAAGGTGATCATATGACCCCGGGACATTCCAACCGTCATAAATACATGCCAGTTACCAAGTGTCTGAATTTTGATCCCATGACTGTGGGGATATCACAATGGTCATGTGTGAAAAACAGTATAAATCACTTTTTCAGTTCCATCATAACTAGGAATTGTCAATAAATGAGTGGTAGTAAGTCGAGGACTACCTGTATTAGCATTTAAAATAGATGCTAACATTGCTGGATCATAATACCAGTCAGATATTCAGTAGTATAGCTCTACGTTTCAAAGGATATATTTCCAGGAAAGTACTGTAAAGATTGATAACTCACTATTGTTAACTATAACCATAGTAAATATAACAGTCAAGTTGAACATACAGATCAAGCACTCTTTCTTTGTTAAAATTTATCCATTGACCTTAAGAGATTCTCTTTATGAATGGAGAGGGAGAAGGGACTTCCTACATTAGACAAATCAAAATAATATGTGTTTCATTTTAGGAAGATATCATAAAAATCTGCTAATGAGTCTTCATTAGGTAGGAAATACTGCCAATTTGTACTTGTTACAATAACTTCATAGATCACATATAAGAAAAAATGGCTTCTAAAAATGCAGCCTCAAAAAGGCCTTTAAAAAAAAACTACTGGTTTCTTACTCCCCAAGAAATATGAGAAGGGTTAGTAATCATGGTAAATGTATCCATGAAATGGCTTTCAAATATTAAAAGTTCCTTAGTTGTCAAAACAGTGATTTGGTTGAATGTTATAGCATCTCCAAGTTCATAAAATATACGTACAGGCAGTCCTTTGGTTTAACAAGAAATTCTGTTCACAATGCTGTCAAATTTGTATGTAAGTCAGAACTTGTACTTACAAATGAACAGCCTATTACTAAAAATGGCGGGTGGCATTGGCCTTCCTTGAGCCAACAAAATGGTAAAGCTGCTGCACAATGCTTTCAGGAACCACTGAACCACTGAAAACCATTAAAAACGTGCAGTTTCAGCGGTTCCTGAAAGCATTATGCAGCTTCAGTTCATCAGCTAGAGGAATTCTGGGAATTGAAGTTCACAAGTCATAAAAGGGCCAAGTTTGAAGACCCTTGAGCTAGAGGAAGGAGAACACTGTCCACCATTTTTAGTAATAGCCCAAGCATATCTAGATCTCAAATCACCTATATCGCTCTCAAATGCTGCTTGAACTGAAAGCGAAAGTTTGACAATCTGCTTTTTTTTCTTGATAAAGGAATAGCATCCTGTGTAGTTGCATCACTCCCAAGAACTTCAAAACTTGAGTGAATATCTTCCAGTTCCACCTCAATTACCTTTGGTTAATAACTTCACATAGGTATCTGTTACAAACCATAGTGATGCAAAAATATGCATATTATGCAAATGAAATTATGTAAATAGTCACAGAATGATATCTGATGGTAGTACATAAGTGATATCATGACATCCTCTGCTCTTCTCACCCCTATAACTTCAAGTAGTTCAGTCAAAATTATAGAACCCAGTTCTCCACCATTACAATATTTGCATCTAGATTAATAGAACCATGGTCCAGTCAATCCAATTCTTTGAATTTGCTCAACACAGGGAATCATAAATTACGGTATCAGGGTTCTAATTACTCACGTAGCTCCAAAGTAACCAGCCATATTTAGTTGAGAGAGTTGTGTTCACCAGCTGTTGAATAATAATAAAAAAAAATAGACATAAACAGCTGGGCTTGGTACAATTCACCTTCTGCCAATTTTCTTTTACAGGAATGCTAATTGCAATTTTGTTTCTAGATTTTATACAGTACTCATCACTATGGTAACTGTAGAACTACTGATTAAAGCCGTTTTTCATTGGTTTGGGCTGATGTGATCTGGTAGAGCAGAATGGATGAGATTCTAAATAGTGCAGGCTGCTATTTTTCATTCTGTTGCAAATCCTTTATTCAGGAAAATATCTGCATATGAAAGGAGTCTTATAGTTTACAAGGGATCTTTTTCTCATATATCATCTTTTGCCATGAGAGTCTCCTGCCATTTATCAGGAATAAACAGGTGTTCAAGTGTACCCTGTCTAATTTATTTTTACTTTGTTATTATAATCAGTAAGAGAAGTAACAAAATCAGGAAACCATCTATGGATTGATTAATGATGCTTCCAAACTGGAATCCCTATGATCCCTATTTACTTTTCTGATAAAGCCAGAATCTGAAACCAGGTTTTGTTCTTGGCTTTAGACTCTTGACTTTTTTAGGAGGTAAAAGTCATAGATTTGAGCTTTGGTGTAAAACAAGAAACTTGTTTAGACTTTCTACTAGAGGATCAAAGTAAAAGCACTAGCATGCTTGTTAGATCCCAATGAACCACAATTCTTGCTTCTAATAATATTCAAGCTGATTATTTTTGTTTTGTAGGATTACAAAAGTTTGTCTGGCAATATGTGGTATTGTGGTTAGATGAATTGGCTGTTTTAAATAGAAAAGCAGAAGTAAAAGCCATCAGTGGTAACGCTTGACCGATCCCCATTGAAGTGAAGCATTTTGAAACCAAATTAATTTTTTCTGGAAAGTGTAACTTCTTTGATTAAATTTGGAAAATGGCTAAAATAGTATTTCCATGGATAATATAGGCATCATTTTTCTCCCTCTCTCCCCCCCCCCTTTTTTTTTGTACAAGTCACTACGGTTGACTCAAAAGTAGCTGAAGTCCTCAGTTTTTTGATCTAATGCCCACTCTATGCTTGCCTGTTTTCTGGGGCAGTGTAAGATTTGAAGAAGCAACCTTTTTAAAAAATGAAGTATAAGTATTTAGAAATTTTCTGTCAGTGGTAGGAAACAGGATATGACCAATAGTCAGATTGTTCCCCCAAATTGTCTTCTGAGACCAAGTGATGTCAGTTTCTATATTTCCTGACATGTCAGTGATAATTGTTATGTGGCTTTCTGAGCACTCAAGAACCAGGCAAAATTGGTTTTACTTGCCCTTCATTTGGGAAAAAGAAAAAATAGGACAAAGACATACAAATGTTTAAACGTTTACTAGTGTCTTGAAACACCAGCTAAACAGAAAAATGCTTAGAATGGCAAAAATGCTTAGAAGGGGCAGTAAATGTTAGTGATTGAGATTAAGATTAAGATCAGGATTCTCCTCTTCTGATTTAGAATATTTGAATAAATTATTGGAGTTAATTATTAAAAGAACTTTAGTAATTCATTACTATGTGCTTTCATATTTGGTAGAAGAGAAAAGTTGTTCCTGTTTTTGCATTAACTTTATCTGAAAGATGAGCAATGCTATTATGGTTGCACATAGATTGTCTCATACGTCATAGTTTATGAAACTATGCTTTACATTCTCACCTCTGATATCTTGAAAATGATTTTAACTTGCATGAAGCATGAAGTTCTCAAGAACATCTGAACCAGGGCAATCAGTCTTTCCTGATTTGTTAATTGGTATTGAATTTCCTGCATCTGAATAAAACTCCAACTGATATATAGCAGGAGAAATATGATTCTGTAGATAGTTTAGGTTTTAAAAAATATGCATAATAATACATTATAAATGTGGTTTTTTGTATTAGTATGTTGTGTGAACCCACTATTATGGCTTAGTATTGTGGTAAGACTGATCAGACTACTATGTATGATTGGGATGCAGATAGTGTGAAATCTTTATTAGAAGTCAGTCCTGTGGTTTTTATGTTCTAGCATTCTTGCCTGATTGTATGAAGTAAAGAAACACAGTAATTATTAACCCTACAGAATGAAACACACTGGATTTAAAACAGTAACGATTCAGACTTTACTAGAAAAGGCAATTTGCCTTTGTAATAAAGATTGTTTTAAAATGCTACTTCCTGAATTGTTAATTAAATTGCTTCTTTGCATGATATATAAACAAAGTTTTAATGGAACAACATGAGACCTTTAGATGCCTTATAGCCCTTGATGTTGTTCTCTAAACTATAACCTTTTTCTACAAATGTCATTAGCCTACCACAAGATGCTTAAGATGTGACTGAGAGCTGAATAAGTCAAGCTTCTTGGTTCTGATTCTTTTAAACCACAGCAGAACCACATGCCTTACCACAAACGTATTTTGAAACTGTCCTGAATTTCAGAAGTGGTTTGCACATGGTATATACTATAGTCTGTGGTTGGAAGAAAGTGAGCAATTTGAACAGAGGTAGCTAGAGATATGATTTTCTGGAGTGTATTTATTTCAGAATCTTTTCCCCCCTCCCTTATGATTTAACCCTGCAATTAGAAATACTTTTAAAAAATCTAAGTTGATTTTGAAATTCAAAATCCCCAACTGGGGTATGTCTTAATTATGTTAATCTGAAATGCCACAGTGGACAGTGCAAGCTTTTGAATCTTCATGAATTATTAATCGGACAAGTTGAAGTTTTGGAGAATTTGAAAAGTTGTACACTTTTTGTAAAACTGGTCGATCATAACAGGTATTACCCTCAGGTACATATTTTGGATTTAATTTCTAAATTTCTCAATCCTCCTGAGGCTGAAATTCAATCCAAGAATAACTTTATCAATAAAAGAAAGAGATCAATCCAAAATATAGATTAATCCAATTTAAACAGAAATAATTACAAGACAATACCAAAACCAGCAAAATTGTAGATTTTTAACAGCTGGCTCAGGAATTCTGGGAGTTGAAGTCCATGAGTCATAAAAGAGCCAAGGTTGCCTATCCCTGGGTTAGGGTTTTAGAATTTAGGAATATTTTATTAAAATCAGTTCATTATACATATTGCTGATTATAATTATGCATATTTTTGGCAGAAGAAATTTCTTAATTTATATTTCTCAAATAAAGTTTATATCAGTGATGGCGAACCTTTTAGAGACCGAGTGCCCAAAAACCCCGCCCCCGCTCCGCCTCCCATCCTGCCTGCTCTGCCCCCACCCTGCCCCGCCTACCTGCAGGGACAAGCACCGCCTCCAGGCAACCCTGCAGCACTATGGCAGCCACGCCCTCCGCTCACACCCCGCAGCATCTGCACGATATGGGGTGTGAGGGCGGAGTCGTGTCCCTGCTGCCCTGCTATGTCCTTGGCTGCGCTGCTCCCTGTGAGCCGCACCCGCGGGCGATTCTCCTCCAGGGAGGCTGCTGATGAGGGGGCCACAGGGAGAGGCGGGGCTGGGGCGATGGCACGCGTACCCACAGAGAGGGCTCTGAGTGCCGCCTCTGGCACACGTGCCATAGGTTCGCCACCACTGCTTTATATTATCTTAATTTCATAGGTTTGAACATTTTGCTGGTTTAAAATATTAAATAGGAGGAGAGACTAAAAGACTTAGTGATCTGCAATAAGATCGCTCAGTTTTTCTCTGGAATATGTTATTTAAATTATGTGAAATTAATCAAGAGTTATTTGCAAGATAGAATAAGAATGAAGGCACTCCATTTATGCATGAATATGACAGGCTTTGGTGTCTAGAGAAAGTAGAATTTTTTAGGGTCTTCTATCAGTGACTGTTTAAGAATTAGGCTGGTCTTTTTTAAATCCCCTTCAGATATGTGTTCCCACCGGAATTCCCATCCAGAAAATTTTGAAAATTGTGTTAAATTAAAAAGTTATTTTCATTTTTTTTAAAAAAGTACTTTGATATAAGATTACAGGTAGTCCTTGGTTTACAACTATGTGTTTAGTGACTTGTAAAAGTTACAGTGGCACTGAAAATAATGAATTACGACCGGTCTTCACATGACAGTTGCAGCATCCCCATTGGTCACATGATCAAAATTCAGGTGCTTGGTAATCCGCATTATTGATGATCATTATTTAAGATACTCCCCCAGGGTCATGTGATCACCATTTGTAACCTTCCCAGCTGGCTTCCAACAAGCAGAATCAATGGGAGAAGTCAGATTTGCTTAACAACTGCACGGTTTGCTTAACAACTGCAATGATTTGCTTAAGGGCTTTGGCCAAAAGATTGTAAAATAGGGCACAATTTACTTAACAACTGTCTCGTTTAGCAACAGAAATTTTGGACTTGGTTGTGGTTGTAAGTCGAGGACTACCCTGTAGTTGATTTAAAAGCAAGCAGCATTTTTCTTCTGTGTATGAAACAGGCATATTGACTAGCTGTTTAGAGAAAATCTTAAATATCTTCATGAAGCTCTTATGGCAAATTATATTCAATAAACATTAGATTTGCTGTAATGACTGGGATTCCCCCCCCTCCCAAGTTCTTGGCTCTCGTTTCTATTACAGGTATGTAAGATTTTCACTAAGAGTTCTACTTCCCGAAGGTTTCCTGCACTATCAATTTGTTAATTCCTTTCCTTGTCTCTCAGAATGATACTTTGGGAGGTGACATGTATTGAAAATTATGATTTACACCTTTTAAATAACATATATGTAAATGGAGACAGTTAAAATGTTGACTGTGAGTATCAATATTTAGCTTTAACTCTGTTAATAGTTTTAGTTTGCATTCCTGAACCTGATGTTTATGGGAATTTTAAAAACAAAAACCTTTTGTTTATGTGTAATCTTCTCTTTTTTGTTGTTGTTTCGTTACAATGCTTCCCCAGCAAGGACAAGTATGGAAGGTTTGCAAAGCTTTTTCACCTTCCCTCTGCCCGCTTTCAGATCAGCCTCATATTTCCATGATTTCTCTCTCTATTATTCACAACTGTAAATAGTAATAATAATAATAATAATAATAATAATAATAAGTTGCCATTCTGGCTTTTCACTATATTGTATAGAAATGTGCAGCATGTTACAATTTGCATGAGACAGATTACATGAGAATTTTATGTTGAAGAAAAGGTATTGGTACCAAATTAGAATTACTGCACAATTTTCTTTTAAGAGTAGTTAATTTGAATATGCTAATTGTACTTTGGGCATGGTTTTACTACGTACCACTGCTCCTAGATTGACTTCATTTTAGACTAGAACAGGGGTAGGCAACCTTGGCTCTTTTATGACTCGTGGACTTCAACTCCCAGAATTCCTGAGCCAGCCATGCTGAGGGGAAAGGGAGAGGTTTCCAAGCTGAGCCATGCTGGCTCAGGAATTCTGGGAGTTGAAGTCCACGAGTCATAAAAGAGCCAAGGTTGCCTACCCCTGGACTAGAACAATGTACTTTTAAGAAAAGGTTTACCTTTAGCAGTTAAGGATAATATCTGCATTATGCAAAGTGATGGCCAGCTGAGACATCACAACATCCCATAAGAACCCATTTAAACATTACGATGTTAGCAAATGTGAGAAGGTTGGAAGTTTAGATGAAATAAAGGTTACCTAAATTAATGTTTAATTTTTTTTAGGCTGGAAGCAGGTTGTCAGTACTAGTCAAATTGAGAACTGTTCCTGCCACCCACCATACTGACATTCAGTAGATTTCAGAGTAGTACAACTGGATCCCCAGCCCAATTAAAGACTTGGTTTCTATGACAGAAATAATTATGTGGGGCTTGTGGTGTGTTTGTAGGTCAGAACATAAGAAATGTGGCTGCAGGTGCAAAACTTGTGCCTAAAGGTAACCTTGACAAACACAGTTTAAATAGGTCTATTTCATTAGGACTTTTGCTTTCATTTACCTTTAAATGCACGCTAGTGTTAATTGTTCAGATTGTAGACAGACCAATGCTAACTCTAAGCTGCTTGTTTCTTTGATTCAGATGAGACATAAAAATGTAATAAGCCCATGATTGCTTTTTTTTTTTTTTGCCAGTTGCTTAGCTTCACTAATTCAGGGTGGCAGTTAAAGATAAACCTACTTCACACTCTGATACAAGGAAAATATTATTTTCTTTTAAGATGGCTTTTTCCCTTCACTACTGTCCTGCATTAACTGCTTTGAAATGTCCACACATTTTTTTTCCAGTAGGAGAACATTTCTGTACTGTCTCATTGCATTGTCCAGCTATGACAATCTCCATTCATTTTTTTTTCACTTCACTATGAAGCCAAAGAGATATTTCTTTTTCTTGGTTGCAGATTATTTATAACAAATGCTTGGTGAAAAGATTATATCTTTAGTTTCTTGTTTTTATTTTCTTCCATAGGCTTGTGGAGACCCAAAAGCTAAACCTTCATATCTTGTTGATAAAAATCTGGAATCCGCTGTTAAATTCATAGTCAGAAAATTTCCAGCTGTAGAGACACGCAATAATAATGTAAGTAATGAAACATTCCATAAATAATTGAATTTCATAAATGTCTCCTTCTTTAATCAATTCTGTTAATGCAACTGCTAGGGATTTATTAATGTTTCCATAATATCAGTGATGATACTGGTTGACATTTTTGTAGTGACTATTTTAGATGGAAAACTGACATTAAATAGTTGTAACTTTGTTAACGACATAATAGAAGAAGTATTCTGTATTGACTATTACTATGTCCTAAAACTTTTATATTTGGTTAGGAGCTTATCTAATTTAGAGTATAACCCTACTAAGCAGTTACAATAGTTTTTGGGAACAGAATTTCAGTGGAACCCTTTGAGTGTGTCAGGGTTTATTGTGAGTATGTTTGAGATGTTCCAAACTCAGTGGAGAATTAGAAAATGTTTTGAAAGAATTACGACTAGAAATAGTAACAGATACTTTTCAAGTATTACATAGCCATCCCTCTTTTAAATTATAAACTATAGAAGAAAACTGAATGAAATAAATACATTTCTAAGAAAGTTTCTCATGGGCTCCTGCCTCTTGATTAAACTAGTCATTCCATCATAACCTGGGGTAGAAAGAGCACCACAACACTTTCTGAAAATTCTTTTTTATATAACTTTATTGGTTTTAAGTTAAAAGATAAGCAGAAAAAAAGATCTGAAAATAAAAAGGTCAGAGAAGAAAAAAGTGAAAGTGCAAAAAAGGAAAAATAGAAACTTTTTTCATATAGATAACAAAATATACATCAGACCCTTTATCTAAGATTAACATTTGTTTACATTATTTCCGTAATCCCATATAATTCTAATCATCGTCCCCAAAGTGGCTTCAAAGTAGAAATAATATCTGTCAGAGTCTTTGCTTTCATCAGACGTGTCAATTTCATCATTTCTGGCAATTCCATCAGCTTCACCATCCATTAATCCACTGACTTTCTGAAAATTGTTGATGAGCTTTTATAGCAGAGCATCTTCAAAGATGTTGAATAGGGGGCAGGGATGGGATATGTGTTGGTATATTGTTTTACAGTCTTATAAACCAGTTTATGGTGATCCTGAAAGGTATGTTAGAAATATACCGTAATAAATAAATAAAATAGAATCATCTCCCACAATAATATTTCTAAGGGTCCAGCTCTCAATTCAGGTAATTGTGCAAAACGAAGCTATTTCTGTTCTTTTGGTATTGTGAAAGTGGATGCTTTGCCATCTGTTGAACAGGATGGAATAAAATACCCTCAAATCATGCCTTTTACTGTTCCCTACCTTTAGATTTATTTCAATTAATTCAGTGGTATCGCTACATTATCATATTTTGTTCAATAAAATAAGCATACACTGCTTTAAAGATATTTATAATCTTAACTGAGTTCTGATAGAAATGTAGAAAGCTCTCCGTTGGTTATTTTTTATTTCTTTGTAATGGAAAATTGGGAGGAAGATGATCTTACCTATCTGTTTTTCTTCTCAGAAGTGGAAAGGGGAGGCAGGTAATGGGCTTGCATGATTTCTGCATGGAAGAGTTTGCACGGCTGCTTGAAATTTCCTATGTCTGGGGCAGTTATTAAGTTCAGTAATTATATTCCTTTTTATGGTCCCACTTGGCAATGTTACTATATTTATGTATCTAAAACTTTATTTCAGATGCATTTTATACTTGCTGTAAGTTGCATCCAGACAATTATGTTTAGAGAAGGCTCATTGGAAATCAGTAAGGCTTATTAGCTATGTAAAGCTAAAGTCCCATTGATTTCTATAGATGTACTTTAAGAATGCTGAACTCTGATTCAAATGTTGTACTTTGTCAACATTTCAGATAAGTAGTTTTGCAAGCCACAATAATATCTGTAACTTTCAAATGCAATGACTTTGGCTTGATCTGTATGTATACTTTCACAGTGGAAAGCATCAGCCACCCATGAAAGGATTATTACTTACCCAGTGGAAAAGTGGTATTATAAGAGCCCAAACTCAGATATAATCTGTCCAAGGGTATACACTTCCAAGACTCATTCAGAACATTTCTCCATTTTTTTAAATGTCCCACTGCAGTACCTGCAAAGCACTGGCGGTCTAGTCAGTGACATAGACATGACATAGACACTGCTGCTGAAAATTGATAGCAAAGTAGCTACATTTGGACTCTACAACTTTGAGCAGGATGGGGATGGGTGGTTAAGCTGGGAATGGGAATGGTTTGTGATTCCAGCCATGCCTCTTCCATTAGGACCACCATTTGATTGTATGGTTTCATGTGGTCCTGAAAAATCAGGAATTTGAGTTGTGACCTGATTGTTCAAAGGTTGGCCACTCCTACACTGAAGATTGATTCCCAAGGCCTGGGAAAATAGTCATTTTCTTCTAGAACATCATTGGGATGGAAACTGTATAGATCTTGGAGATGGGGGAATGTCATTCCAGAAAAGATACCATATCAGACAAAGCATGGTTTATAAGTCCTCCTAGATGTCATTTCTAATCAAGGGACTCCAAAGCATATGAATTCTACCAACCTTACTGGATGGGCAGAAACCATGAGAAATAGGTTCCTCAAATAAACTGGCCCTATCCATGAGGGTCTTCCTAGGTGATAGCCAGTGCCATGAATTGTATCCAGGACCTCACAGACAACAAGTGCAGCTCATGAAGCAATGGTATCACACTACACTAAGACACATTCAACATTGTTGGTACTGCATCTAAGGCTTATGAATGGCCTTCAAGTGCACCTTCATGTAGAGAGCATTGCATTAGTCCAACTGTGAGGTGACTAGGCCATATATGACCTTCTGGAGAGCTCTTTTTTCTAAAAATGGATGCAACTGGCCACCAAATGTAGCTGAGTAAAGGTCTTCTTGGCTCTCACTTGCCCCCTGCTCTTTGAGCACAAACAATGAGTCTAAGCCAGTGGTTCTCAACCTTTTTAATGCCGCGACCCCCAACCGGTCGTAAGTCGAGGACTAAACCGGTCGTAAGTCGAGGACTAAACCGGTCGTAAGTCGAGGACTGCCCAACCGGTCGTAAGTTGAGGACTTTCCCTGCCCGGGAGCGCCGCGCATGTGCGGTACCGCCCCCTGCGCCGGCCGAGGCGTAGCTGGCAAGCGGCAGAGACGGAGCAGGCCGACCACCAGCTGGCCCAGCTCAAGGGAGGTAAGGCACCCGCCGGAAAAGGGGAAAAAAATGGCGGACAGCCTTGCTTGGCGACCCCCGTGAAATGGTCGATCGACCCCAAATGGGGTCACGACCCATAAGTTGAGAACTGCTGGTCTAAGCTGCTCCCCGGATTGTGAACTGGTCTTGAGTGCAGGAATGCAACCCCATCCAAGAATTAAGATAGAAAATCCCGAAAACAAAGGGAGAGAAAAGCATAGTTTTAGTTTGGATTTGAGAAAAGTTGGATATCAGAACTAAGTTTTTAGGTAGGCAGTATATATGTATATATTTTTATTTTATATTTTAATATTCTTCAAAGCTAATTTTAGGGTAGCGTTGGACAGGTTCTACCTGCTTACCATTATGCCTCAGACAAAAATGTTGCAACAAGAGCAAAATCTCACGAGTCAGCAAAAGTTGCCAAAACTGGATTTACATTGCATACAATGCATTGAGAATAGCAGTTCGGTACAATGATTAAGTAAAGTTCTTATACCAAAGAAGTTTTAAAATTTGGAACTAATAAGGTTTGGGGGGATTGGTTTTGCTTCTGTAATTTTTAGATTGAGATTACACTAATTTTTAACTTTTCACTTATTTTGTGTTAAAGGCACTTAATTGCATGTTAAATAAATTCACTATTCAATGCTATGGGTGGAATCATTTTGTTTAAAAAAAAACCCCTCCCAAATATACAAACAGCTGTTGGTTAGTATTCCTATCTTGAATGCACAAAAAGATGTTATAAAGTACAAATTAGAAGGAATTTCTGCTCCTTTTTGGAATTCAAATGAAAAAAACAATGAGAAAAAGGGAATGTTATTATAGTGCAGTATTTTTATGAGTCTTGCCCCGCTATTGAGATAAAATGCTATCTGCTGATAGCACTAAACAATGCCAGCATATCCTGTCTCTGTTGCCTCTGTTCTGAGAACCTATCAAATGAGGGGATCCTGGTTTGTCAGTCTGGCTTTATTGCTAACCCCTTTCAGCGTGTCCATGGTCAGCAGGGAGAAGCTGACTTATGGTCTCTGGCTAAAACTTTCTGAACAGATTTGTGTGCCCCTCTTCCCACACACCATTTGGGCATCTCTTGAGATTAAAAAAAAAAGTGTGAAATAAAGCAGTGTACATGTAGACAGCAGATCAGGGATAACCTTAGAGAGCAGGAAAGCAGATACTGTCGCAGTTGGGCAAGCATATTCAGGGGTAGTCAACCTTGGCTCTTTTATGACTCGTGGACTTCAACTCCCAGAATTCCTGAGCCAGCATGGCTGGCTCAGGAATTCTGGGAGTTGAAGTCCACGAGTCATAAAAGAGCCAAGGTTGACTACCCCTGATATAGATTCTGAATCTGGAACAACTGAAAATGCAAGACTGACATTGTTTGGCCAATCTCTTATTTCAAGAGGAGTGAAACAAATCTAGGAAGACTGGAAAATAAACCAAAGCACAGTGCAGATATTATATTTTATTTTCTGGATAGTGCGTGAGGGAAATTACAGCTGCTATATGTAAACCAGACTCTTAACACTATTTCAGAACATTGTTTAAGTGAATTGGCACCGATACGCCCTCGCTTCTCCAAATAAAGTAGCAGAAATGTTGTTTCAGAATAGCATTAGAGCAGAATTGTACAGATTTGCCTCTTCTTTGCCAAATAAAGTAGTGGAGATCTGTTTTTCTCTTCTGTATTTTCAGGCAGCCTGGAGAAGGCGCTTTCAAATTAGAGAAGGGAGAGGACATAAAGGAAGAGAATCCAGGAGGCAGAATGCTAATTGGGAGGGGAGTTGCTGGAAGAGAAATGCTTGCAGTGGAGTATGGGTAGTGATCAGATCTGAAAAGAAA